TCCATATGTCACCAGTGTATTTAGCAAATAGATTGTCCGTAATCTGCATCCCGAATAACCCCAGTGTACCAAGTTTCGATCAGTTTCGTGATTTTCTCCTATCTACCGTAAACCTACCGTAACCTCGTCAGATGACACCACAGTATAATCTGCATGTCATATTCGTTATCGGCGCCCCGAAGAACCCAGTGTACCAAGTTTCGATCAGTTTCGTGATCTTCTCCCATCTACCGTAAACCTACCGTAACACCTCTACATGACCCCATAGCGAAAAATGGGTACCATATGCGTGACCAGCGCACCAAATAAACCCCTGGGCCAAGTTTTCACAAAATTTCAAAATTTTGTAAATCACTGCGCACCACGATATCCCCATCATGCCTGCTTAAACTACAAGCAAAATGTACCCCGGAGGACTTTTTAGCTGCCCCTCTTCTTTTGCGCACTATTTCTCTTTCTCTGACCAAACTCAGAGTTATCTCTGAGTTCCACGATAGACTGGAACGCGCATCAAACTCAGAGTTATCGCAGACACTAGTTGCGCGTTTAGTGACGCTGTTTCTTGTGCAGGACGATTTGGACAATGTTGCGCTACTAAGAATAAAGTACGTGTTAAGGAGAATCCTGCCATATCATCGCTTTCCGGATTTGATCTGTTCAAACACCTGTTGAAGGGGTCAAAAAGTTGCGCGTTAGCTCAGAGATAACTCAGAGTTAACTCTGAGTTATAACTCTGAGTTTCGATAGGTTTACTACCGACCCAGAAAAACAAAGCTATAGTTCTTATACCAACATCGGTCAGATTTTAGGCCTCAATAATTAATTTAATAGCTTTTTGGAGTCTTCAATAGAGCGATTGCTTCGCATTCTTATCTAGTGCATCAACAATGACAGTGTCAATAATAGATTGACCAGTCTTTTGGGCATATACAGAGCTGTTTTTGGTTTTACGATACCCGGCACTCTTCACCTTACGTTATTCTTTCGCTTTACTAGTTTTACAAGAGTAGGATCATAATTTGAATTGTTCTGTTTGTACAAACTCCTTTATGTAAAAACCATCCTCTTAATTTATTTTTGTCCCAGAAACTTTTTTCCATTTTCAATCTTCACTGGGCAAATTGCAAGTTGCAAATTTACGACAGCATCTTTGAGTAAATAGTGTATACAACCTCATCTATGGGAGGAATCTAGGACCACTACGAAGTTTGCAAATATAATCCCATCATTTTTTTTTGATTTCAAGCAAACACAAATCAAAAAAAACAGCAAATGCATGTATTTGTAAATGTCTAGATTGGAGGGTGTATGCATGAGCGGTGAGAGGTCTGTCAGACTTTTAGTTTTCTAGGCATTTGAGCCTTTTTAGATTTCGCTCTGAACTTCAATGGTTCAAACCTAGTGTTATTGTTGCCATCTTGCTTTGCTTTAATGACTACCCGAAACTCATTTGAAAATGGGAACATCATGACTTTTGGTGTTGAAGAGCCAGCTCGGAAGAACTTGCAGACAACCTGATAATTTTTTAAGCGTCGAAAATTTACTAACAAGGGAAGGAATGTGCATCGAAGTGGCCTTTTGAAGTGTGATGTATACTGTGTTGTATAGCTTGGAACGCTGATTCCAAATTTGCCTTTGCTATCTGCAGCCGGCTTCTAGGCGAGGTGTTATGAAGGTTTTTGTGAGTAAATTCAAACGCAAGATTAATATAAAATTAGTCGTAACCTTTTCCTAACGTTCAAATGAGGTAGCAGCAAGTTGGTATATTTTAATCAATAGTATTTTTTTGCGGCGAGTGACCCGAATACCGGTTAAGCCCTGGAAAAAAATGTTACAACTGATTATAGACTAATCTTGCACTTGACTTTTTACTCACAAAAATCTCCACAACTCCTCGCCCAGAATCCCGCAGCAGATAGCGAAAAAAGATTTGGAGTCAGCTTGAAACTCTACAAAACATTATACATTACGTTTTAGAAGGCCACTTCGATCAGTCTTCCTTCACTTGTAAGTTTGCACAGAGAGGCAATGTCTGTAAAATTTTACCCTTTTGAATGTGGCGCTTCCTTTTTTTCGGTATTGCAAAATTATGATGTAAGCTGCATGCACAGCAATGTCGATTTCGCCTTCGCATATAAGCGTTAAGGCAGGTTTACGGCATAAGGTAGACAATTTTAGATTGCTGCAAATTTTGCTGAGACTTCTAGGAGGGTTCTTTGACATGCTAATTACAAAAATGATACCCATTTTGCATGATAGAACCTCTCTCAAAAGGGCAAGGCATGATCTTCTATTTTAGCGATAAATGAATATAATGTTCGTATTCACCGCTTCGTACGCCACTCTGCAAAGTTTTGGCAAAATTACGTTTAGTTACCCACAAATGCTCATCCAAACTTGAGGCTTCAACTTGTTCAGATTCCTGAAGGGCGCCAGATTTCAATTCGTCTCCAACATTTCTTTTCTTGACTGATTTTATCAAGCTATCATCTAGCTCCATGCTATCTACAAATCCGTCTTGATATGACTAATTCAGATTTGCACTGCTTTTTTGCTAAAAAACCTGAAATCGCAATTTTCAACATCTTAAAAAAAGCTTACAAGGGAGTGTCAGGAGCCGAAATGGCTAATGCAAACAGCTGCATACCATTCGCAGCATAGAACTCTGACTTCAAATCTGTCTTCCTTATCTGCTGAATGCCGTTGTGGAAGAAATTATGATCAGTCTTACTGCGAAGAAATCGTACATAATTATTGCGAAATGAAGCTTTTCAGTGTCCTTTTAGTTCACCTTTAAGTGTTACTGCCACCTGTTAGTTTACTGCCGTTTATCACCATTCGGAATAACTTAGCAGAATGTCGTTTAGCTTCAAGCCGAACATGACTCTATGAGGCCAAATTTGCCCTTTACATCACGATTTATCAAGGAAATGATGGCATTCAGTAGCTTGTAACTTCCTCCACAAAAGTGCTCTGCACATAAGGAAGAAAGATTTCGAGCCAACGATTTATGCTGCATTTGATGGTGCAGCTTGCTTGAATTGGCCACTTCGATTACCGACCATTCCCTTGTCAGAATTTTTTCTATCATGTCATCAAAATCAAAAGGTTTGCGCAGTCTTGTAAAAAAAATGAGCCATGCATTTAAAGAGAGAAAACTATGGAAGGAGCTGCCAAGCTCACGTGCCCTTATATCTCTGTGCCTTCTGAAGCCTAAGAATAAACTAAGAACCCTGCTTTACCTTTTTGAATGCGAAATTTGATGACTATCAAATCTTTTCTACAAAAATGCATCAAGAGCTATGCTTTCCGATACGGGGTTTTGAGTTTGTAGCGAAAAGTCGCCTATTTTCGAAAAGTCGCCATTTCAATGAATCTTTGTGCCTTGACTTAGTAGCCTTTTGATTATCACTATGCCACACTAATGTCATCATCGCCGTGCGCTTTCTTTTCTCTTTCCAACCAAATAAAATCTGCAGTCAAGTTTGGACATCAAGATCTGAAGTTTTGGAAAATATTGAGCCTGCAGTTTTGTGCCCACCCCTTACATCATGCTATGTTATAGTTCCTAATTGTACGTATCTTCAAAACATTTATGGTATGTGTTTGCAACAGCATGCCCTCTATGCAGTGATAACAGCTATCAGAGATTCTCTTTGCATCGAGGTAAAAACGCAGATACAAAAATACTCAAAAAGCTTGCTTCGCGAACTAGAATACCGATGTGATTTATAGTTTCGCTTTCTCGTCCTTCTGTAAACGATAAAAGCTTCGAGAATTACAGGCACAAAATCTCGCCTGCCATACTTTCAAGGATCAACTGGTAACGAAAGAATTTTAAACTATGGAACACAAAGCAGGTGACAGCAAGACGAAAGCGGCCAAAAAATCTCAAACCGCTGGAAAATCCGAAAAATCTCAAACCACGAAGCAAAAACCAGAATCTGTTTCCCAGACGAAACCGACCGAAAAATCTCAAGCCACGGAACGTGAACCTGCAAAATCACAGGCCGCGAAGCACAAGCTAGGTTCAGTCCCCCACCCAAAACCGACCGAAAAACCTCACACCACGGAGCGCAAGCCTGAGAAATCTTTGACCACGGAACACAAGCCTGAGTCCGAAATCAAGACGAAACCGGTTGAAAAACCTCAAACCTTGGAACACAAACCCGAGGAAAAAAAGACGAAACCTGCCGAAAAACCTCACACCGCGGAGCGCAAGCTTGAGAAATCTTTGACCACGGAACAGAAGCCTGAATCCGAAATCAAGACGAAACCAGTTGAAAAACCCCAAACAAAGGAACCCAAGCCTGAGTCCGAAATCAAGATGAAAGCGGCCGAAAAACCTCAAACCGCGGAGCACAAACCTGAGGAAAAGAAGGCGAAACCTGCCGAAAAACCTCACCCCACAGAGCGCAAGCTTGAGAAATCTTTGACCACGGAACACAAGCTTGGGTCCGAAATCAAGACGAAAACGGTTGAAAAACCCCAAACAACGGAACGCAAGCCCGAGTCTGAAACCAAGATGAAAGCGACCGAAAAATCTCAAACCTTGGAACACAAACCTGGGGAAAAGAAGACGAAACCTGCCGAAAAACCTCACCCCACGGAACGCAAATCAGGATCTGACACTCAGACGAAACCGGCTGAAATACCTCGAACCATGGAAGATAAGCCTGAGTCTGAAACCAAAATGAAAACGGCCGAAAAACCTCAGACCACACAGCATAAACCCGAGAAAACTTTGACAACGGAACACAAGCCTGAGTCTGACACCAAGGCGAAACCCGCCGAAAAACCCCAAACAACGGAGCAAAAGCTTAAGTCTGAAACCAGGGCGAAACCAGCCGAATTACCTCAAACCTTTGAACACAAACCTGAGGAAGCCAAAACGAAACCTGCCGAAAAACCTCACCCCACGGAACGCAAATCAGGATCTGACACTCAGACGAAACCGGCTGAAATACCTCGAACCATGGAAGATAAGCCTGAGTCTGACACCAAGGCGAAACCCGCCGAAAAACCTCAAACCGCGGAGCACAAGCCTGAGACTGACACCAAGGCGAAACCGGCCGAATTACCTCAAACCTTGGAACACAAACCTGAGGAAGTCAAAACGAAACCTGCCGAAAAACCTCACCCCATGGAACGCAAATCAGGATCTGACACTCAGACGAAACCGGCTGAAATACCTCGAACCATGGAAGATAAGCCTGAGTCTGACACCAAGGCGAAACCTGCCGAAAAACCTCAAACCGCGGAGCACAAGCCTGAGACTGACACCAAGGCGAAACCCGCCGAAAAACCTCAAACCGCGGAGCATAAACCCGAGAAATCTTTGACGACGGAACACAAGCCTGAGTCTGACACCAAGGCGGTACACGCCGAAAAACCTCAAACTACGGAACACAAACTTGAGTTTGAAACCAAGATGAAAACGGCCAAAAAACCTCAGACCACGCAGCATAAACCCGAGAAATCTTTGACCACGAAACACAAGCCTGAGTCTGAAACCAGGGCGAAACCCGCCGAAGAGCCTCAAACCGTGGAACACAAACCTGAGGAAACCAAGACGAAACCTGCCGAAAAACCTCACCCCACGGAACTCAAATCAGGATCTGAAACTCAGACGAAACCGGCTGAAATACCTCGAACCATGGAACATAAACCATTCTCGGACATCCAGATGGAACCGGCTGGAAAGCCCCTAGCCGTGGAACACAAGCCTGAGTCTGGAACCAAAATGAAACCCGCGGAAATACTTCAAACCACGGAACACAAGGCTGAGTTTGACATAAAGACGAAACCTATGGAAATGCCTCAAACCATGGAACTCAAGTCTGTGTTTGACACCAAGACAAAACCTGTTGAAAAACCCCACGCAACGGAACACAAGGCTGAGTCTGACATAAAGACGAAACCTGTGGAAATACCTCAAACCAGAGAACACAAGCCCGAAGAATTGCTAACCATGGAACACCAACCTGAGTCTGAAACGAAGACGAAACCTGTGGAAATGCCTCAAGCCATGGAACACAAACCAGGATCTAATATTCTGACAAAACTTGCCGAAAAATTGCAATTCACGAAACAGAAAACCGCAAAACCTCAAACCACGGAGCATAAACCCGAAAAATCTTTGACCACGGAACAAAAGCCTGAGTCTGACACCGAGGCGAAACCGGCCGAAATACCTCAAACTACGGAACACAAGCCTGAGTCTGACACCAAGGTCAAGTCTGACACCAAGGTGAAACCTGTGGAAATACCTCAAACCATGGAACATAAACCCGAGAAATCTTTGACGACGGAACACAAGCCTGAGTCTGACACCAAGGTGAAACCGGCCGAAATACCTCAAACTACGGAACACAAGCCTGAGTCTGACACCAAGGTCAAGTCTGACACCAAGGTGAAACCTGTGGAAATACCTCAAACCATGGAACATAAACCATTCTCGGACATCCAGACGAAACCGGTTGGAAAGCCCCAAGCCACGGAACACAAGCCTGAGTTCAACACCAAGGCAAAACCCGTCGAAAAACCTCAAACCGCGGAACAGAAGCCTGAGTCAGAAACCAAGGCGAAAACGGCCGAAATACCTCAAACTACGGAACACAAACCTGAGTCTGAAACCAAGACGAAAGCGGCCGAAGAACCTCAAACCATGGAACAGAAGCCCGAAGAATTGCTAACCATGGAACACAAGCCTGAGTCTGACACCAAGGTGAAACCTGTGGAAATACCTCAAACCATGGAACATAAACCATTCTGGGACATCGAGATGGAATTGGCTGGAAAATCCCAAGCCACGGAACACAAGCCTGAATCTGACACCAAGGCGAAACCTGTGGAAATGCCTCAAACCATGGAAAATAAACCATTCTGGGACATCGAGATGGAATTGGCTGGAAAGTCCCAAGCCACGGAACACAAGCCTGAGTCTGACACCAAGGCAAAACCCGCCGAAAAACCTCAAACCGCGGAACACAAGCCTGAGTCTCAAACTAGGGCGAAACCGGCCGAAAAACTCCACACAACGGAACACAAGGCTGAGTCTGACATAAAGACGGAACCTGTGGAAGTACCTCAAACCATGGAACAGAAGCCCGAAGAATTGCTAACCATGGAACACCAGCCTGAGTCTGAAACCAAGACGAAACCTGTGGAAATGCCTCAAGCCATGGAACACAAACCAGGATCTAATATTCTGACAAAACTTGCCGAAAAATTGCAATTCACGAAACAGAAAACCGAAAAACCTCAAACCATGGAGCATAAACCCGAAAAATCTTTAACCACGCGACACGAGCCTGAATATGACACCAAGGCGAAACCTGTGGAAATACCTCAAACCTTGGAAGATAAACTGTTCTCTGACATCCAGACGAAACCGACCGGAAAACCTCAAGCCATGGTACACGAACCAGGATCTGAAATTCAGACGGTACTTGCCGAAAAATTGCAAACCACGGAACAGAAAAGCGCAAAACCTCAAACCACGGAGCATAAACCCGAAAAATCGCAAACAACGGAACACGAACCAACATATGGCACTCAAATAGAACTCACTGGAAAGCCTCGAACCTCCGAACAAACATCCGGGTCCGACTTTCATCCACCATTGAGGTAATGTCATTATGATTTTAGAAGGTAAGTTGGTTAAGGTAGTCTTATCAAATTTAGCAGTGATCACTTGACTCCACGTACAGATTATATGTACCCCAAAACAGAGCGGTAATTCAATATCGCAGCTATTCACAATATCGAAGATCGCGAACTAAAGTACCTGCGTAATTTAAGAAACTCTTTGCTGCGCCGAAAGAAAATAGAAAGGACAATTAACTTTGAACAAAGACAAAAAAACGCTGCCTGTACGACTACCTAGAATTTTCACTGAGCAGGAAGAATTAGTGAGGAAAGGGTATCGTGGTAATAAAAGGTTCGAAGAGGTTCTCTTGAACGGGATAGGCTGTTAAAGGTTTCTTTGGGGTTTAAGCCATACTTGGGGGTACAGTACTCAAGCGTGAGCCCGTAGCTGTTTATTTCAGCGTGGATGAGGACGTGATTGTTAAAGGAACTAGCTTGACGAAATCGTGGTTGAAGGATTGCATAGAGGCAAGAATCAAGCAGCGTCCGCGTTTGGGAAAGGTTTATTTGTCTTCTTAAACATCCAAACTTACTGCAAACAATTTTTGTGGCAGTACTCTAAAATCAAAATGCCAAACAAGAACCATTCAGATTGAGCCTTTGGGACCAGAGGCAATTGGTTATATGTCCATCATAAGGAGAGTGCACTTGGAATGGGATAAAGATCAAAAAGATCTTCCACAGTCTGTCATTGTAAAGGTGAACAAGCAGCTGAAAGTTTTTTCAATCACCAAGACTTCATTCAAGATTCCATGCTCGTCTAAAGGATCTGAGACCTTTGAAAAGTCATCCGGAACGAAAATGGAAGAGGGAGACATGAATATGATGCAAACAATTGTTCATGAGACAGAAACGAAGTGGTATCGTATCGTGCAAAATTGTGAGTGGAACTGCACACAAATAACATCACTCACACCTTTGTTTGAAAATACCGGTCATTTCAGTTTGTTCCGAGAATTAAGCTGGTAAGATCTAATCGTTTGAAAATAGACAAAGTGCTTTGTAAGACAAGTTTCAGCATTTTAGTTTCAACTGTTGTTATACAAAGATTCCCGAGATGTGACGCTGTAATTGTACTATAAACAGTCTCCTTTTTCTCGGGCTCACTATCGAATAAGTCTATGGAATTTAAAATAGCAACAGTTGATACAGCATTACCATTTGCCAAAGTCTAATTTGACAAGCTTTGAGTTTGTCAGAAATGTACATTTTCAAGCGCAGCTTTTCGCAACTCAGCTCACACTCGTTTGTACTGATATGACAAAAGAAAAATCGCTATTGAGAGATGTTCTCTTTTTGATTTTTCTGGTATAGCTGGTAATTAGCCAGTTTCAGATCTGCAAGCGCAAACAGAAATTTCTGTAGCGATGAGCTCTGCGAAAAAAAGGTTAAAATCTAGAACTTGTCAGTTTATTTGAGCCTATTTGTGTTATGGCTAAAAGTCATAGTTATGAAAGCTCTTAATTCCCGAACTTCTAGATGGCTTAGTTTTTCTTGAAAATCTCAATGATATATCCTACTTTTTTACGCTTACAGAATTGAACAAATTTGCTTCTCGGAAAAAAAATTTCAGTCCATAGAATGTCCGCTGCGCCCATCTACTTTGGTATTTTCACAGTCTAAATAATGAAAAATGTGATTGAGTATGAGAGCAATAAGTAGCAATAAGCTTATCACATACAATAAGTAGCTGTGTTTCCAATAGAATCGATTATTTGCGAATTCTGGCCAAGAAAGTGGATGAAATGACCGATTTTGCGTACGGTTATTCAAAATTCCGTAACATTTCAAGAGATGAGGATAGAAGCCTGATCGAGCGTGTTAAAAGCACATAAAGGAAGTTTCTAAACGCCGTGCGAAATCGTTTTGAGTAAGCAAGTTTGGCGGAAAAATTGCGTTTGGAAGAAACGTTTTAAAAGCTGAAACTGACTTTGCATAGTTTAATAAGTGAGATGCGGCAATTTCATTTCACTTATAAGAAATGGTATTTTATTTTCTTCCATTACGAAATCAATTTGAATTTGCTTAAGAGGACGATTGCCTTTACAGTAGATCCAAAACCGTTACTCGTGCCTACGATTTACGCAGCGGAAGGCTGCGCATCCATGAATCCCATTATTGTCATGGAAGACTTTCACGACTGTTTTCTGGTTGACTTTATAGAAGGATTTTCCGAAAAGCAGGTATTATTTTGCTGACATATATAAGCTGTAAAAGATTGAATTTTTAGCTATATGCTCTAACAGAGCAGATCGCGAAACTGCAAGCATTCGGAATCAAAAATAAACATTCAACTGAGATTATGAAGGTAAGCCAACTATATAATATAAATGTGGAAGAAGAGGGAAGAAAAACGCATTATTTGGGAACTTGCGTTCCAGGGGGGACCAATAAAGATGATGATGGAAAGACCTGAGGCTGTGGATGAGATGCTTCCAGTTTGCCAAAATCTCATCGCTTGTATGCCAGACCAATTAGGTTGCATAAACGTAAGCTTACAAGCATAGTACAATTGTTCGACGTGACTACCCTCTTGCAGAAGTTCATTGAAAGCACTTACGGTAAAGATATGATGTGTACAGCCAAGCTTGTCAACGAGTACGAAGAAGGAAGTAAGATTTTTCAATCTTGAAGTTCGTGGATTAACATGTACTGCAACAGAAAGACCTTTCGCACTGGTCCATGGAGATTTATGGGCTCCACAAGTACTATGGAGAGATGAAGAGACTATTGGCGGCATAGTGGATTGGCAAATGGTTCACCTTGGAAGTCCTGTGGGCGACATTTCTTTCAAATGAACAATCTCGAGTATCTGCTAGACTGGGTCTTACCACAAGAAGACAACGTTTTTAAAAACTGAATTATGCTAGCGTGACTTTCCAATGTGAGCTGCGATGTGAAATCGACGTTTACGAGAATTTTCCTTTAGAATATATTAAACAGTAACATAAGTTCCTCATACCTGAAAGAAAAATCTCCATAACTTTCATGGATGTTCCTTCATTTTTAGACCACTGGTTGATACAAAATTAGTGCACGTTCCTTTCGCCGCCGCAGACATGATGTAAAAATGTGTTTGACTATTATTTTTTTAAGCTAAAGCAAGCTCTACTAGATGGCATTCGAACATCGCAAAAGTTTCCATTTACCTAAAGTCTGGAAAAAATCTACAAAAATAGCTAAAAATCAGTAATCCGTCAAAAAAGATCATGCGAATTACCTATACATTATCCATACGCAATCATATGCATAATTGCCGCATGTTTTTCATGGCTAGAAATTAAAAAATAAGTATGTGTCAAACATGCTAGAATGTGGGATCGGGTTTCTATGTTAAGTTGATGTTTCTCGACACCTACAGCTTAAGAAAGGCAGAAAAATTTGTGTCATATTTTTGAAGCTTTATAATTCTAGAATCACTTTTGTCAGGACACTGCAACATTGCTTTTGCTAGTGTTGTGTCTTCATCTTCGGACACTCTTCGAATTCTCGTCTATTGGGCAACACAGTAGAAGACAAATGTTTATTGAAGTTGAAGGAATGTTTAGACAAACAATAGCAAAGGCAGATGAGTGAACGAATGAACTCACTAGGGCTAACAGTGAGCGCCTATAGCGTTCTTTCCCGCGCACTGAGGTTGGGATCGACTGCCGAGGACAGATCATATGAGGAACAATTGGCTACCCACAATTACTAAGCTATAACGCTTTTTTCACACCAAAGTATCGATAGAGAAATGCCCAGAAAAATTACAGGAAGTGTACATGCAATTAGCTTTTGCGAATATTTTGACCAAGTTGGAGGTTTGCAGGGTTTTCTGGACATAAATCCGACTTTTGGGCAATCGCAATTTCTTAGATTTTTGCCAAACATCCCACATTTATCAAACTTTTTTCGGTTAATTAAAGATCGTTTGTATAACTTGCTTCGCTCTATCAAATAACATGCTTTATGCATTTTCATACTTTCCCTAAAGCGGCAGGATAAGGAACGTGTATTAATCTTGCATTGACCTAATACTTGGCGTTGTTTTTGGCAAAATTCCGACTTGCTTTATTGAAGAGCTAGAGCCTCTAACTGCATTCGCACTAGCACTAACGCTCTCAGAAATCCGCAAAGAACCTAGAAAGTTGAAAAAGTTTAAGTCCATTCCAAAAGGAAAGAATGGGAGTCGAAGTGTCAATACAAAAATGCTTAAATTTCGGAATAACTCGCGTCTATGCAACTGAAAATGAGACATGGTACAACCCTTCGTTCCCTTCGTATATTCGTCAATGGGGCTTTTCAACTTTGGAGTTTTTCAGATAAAGATTAAAAAAGTGTAACAAGACTTATGTTACAACCTAATAACGTGGTGTCACTCCAACTTCACTCGGTCAGCTCACGAGGAAATGGTCAGAACTTAACCCAGCCATTCCAAACAAGCTGTATATCATCGGACTGTCTTAAAAGGTTGATTTCCATATATGTCTTTTATCTGCCAAGCGACTATCTGGGAGGAGTATGAGCGTTCAAATATGAGAAATTTTTCGAGTTTCGACGATATCCTCAAAAGATTGCCTGATGACGGGGTTTACAGTGGCTATGGTTACTTCAATTACAAGGAAGAAGCACTTTCACCAGAAACTTTAACAAGTTCTGAAACTTATTTCGTGGAACATGCGCCACAGAACACTTGACAAATCGCACATTTGAACGCTCGTAACTCCTCCCAGATAGTCGCTTGGCAGATAATAAACACATACTTGTAATAAGCGTTCGAAGACGAGTTCGATGATATACAGCATGTTTGGTATGGCTGAGTTAATTTCTGACCACATCCTGCTTGTCTGGTGCAAAAGGATCGGACTGTAAAAAGAATTTTTTTGAGTTGCTCTTTTCAAGGTTGAAGATCTTATGCGAATACTGAGCACGAGTACAACAGTAGAGATGCGAAGAAGACTATTGCATCCACTCCTTGATTTTTACTACGACAAGATGAAAAGCTTGCTTGGTGACGACATGCCATTCTCGAGAGAATATATCAATGTAAGCCTTCAGCTATTACGAGCATGAGTTGGTCATAATCTTTGTGAGCTTCAACTTCGATGACAACCTAGAAAGAGTGCACAAAGGGTTTGTTTGGGGTCCAAAGCATAGTCATAAAACAGTCTATTTTTCGAAAGCAAGTTTGAGCATTCTTTTCATAAAAAGGTTTTGCCCGTAATCAAAATTTTTCAAGAAAATATCAAGGTGTTCATAAGTTCCCTCTGTTTCAAATTTCAACCGCAATAAGTCATACATTTCTCGATTCCAAATAGGTTGCAAAGTGCCGTTAAATCAAGCAAAGCAAGCTCTACAAAAACGCAATCATGTTTTTGCGTCAGCTCTAATACACCTCGAGCAAACCAATAATTCAAAAAGGTTCACTCCCAAAAAATCGAGAAAAATCTTAACTGCGACTCAAAAAGCCCTACAACAATTCTAACCTGCTCACGTATACACTACCCACATAAGGCATATATGTAGGCAGTTGCCGCACTTTTCGCTCTTTAGAAATCAAGAAAACGAGGATTTTCATACTCAAACTGATGCTGCGCTGTCCCGCATAAGCAGTTGTATACTAAGACCTGTATAAGTACAAAGGTATATTTTCAACACTCTAGAAGCTCTAATGTTTGAGAAATATGGATTTTAGCGTAAGTCACCCACTAAGGGAAGCTGTTTTCGATATTTCTCGAGAATAAAGCTTGTAGAGAGCTGAAAATTTACGTTTATACTTATGCAGGTCTTTAGTATAAAAGCTTATGCGGGGACAGTACACATCACTTTGGCAAAAGCATGGAAATCCTCGTTTTCTTGATTTTTAAAGAAGGAAAAAATACAGCAACGGCTTATATACATGCCTTGTGCGTGTATACGTGAGCAGGTTAGAATTCTTATAGGACTTTTTGGGTCGGAGTTACGATTTTTCTCGATTTTTTGGTAGATGAACCTTTTTGATATTCAACTTCGAGGTATGTTAGAGCTGGCGCAAAGGCAATAATAGCGTCTTATAGAGCTTGCTTTGCTCTATCGAACCTACCTTGCAAGCTATTAGCGTGATCGGTAAAAAATGGGGCACCTAGAGAATAACTGTAGATTTCTCAAAAAAGTGATTAAACTTCCCAATTTTGAAGATGTCAGAACAAATTATTTTCCTTCAGAAAAAACCTATATAAGGTCGTTTACATACGTAATAATTTTTATAGTGGCTGAAATGCAAATTTATAAGTCACATTATAAACTTTGGGCAGTATCTGCGCAATGAAACATGTGAGACCACCCAAAGTACCACTGCTGGAGTGGGTGGTGAGACAGTCACTGAACCCTCGACGGCTTGATAGCCTCAACTTTCAAAGTCAGGAGATATGGCCATTAGCAGCTTCGAGAACAAAGATACGCGTTATTCAATTCTTTGCAGGTGAACGCATGTTTTCTAGGTTCCATTCATAAGTAGTTTACCTCAGGTTATCTATCTTCGGAAATTATATGGCAAAACATGATTTTGGTTTTTTATTGCGCCAAAAAATTGCGATTTTTATAGGTATTTCGCTTTTTATCCAGAAATAGAAAGAAATCCTGTATGTTCAATATATTGTTTGAAACAGCATGAAGAGCTCTTTCGAATGGTAGGTCATTTGCTTTACGATTTCACGGTATAGCAGCGCAAGAATGAGCGATGTTCCAAGAACCTTGTCTGAGTTCTTCATGGCGCCACGCGTACGGTTATGAGGGAGGAGCGGTAACGCGTTGCCAGAACAATAAGCGAAGGTCGGTTATGTAAGCGACGTTTGAGTTGCAGCCTGCTCGTTGTTAGTGAGAATAAAAAAAACCAAAATGTAATACAAATCAAACTCCCCGTTTTTTTTACCGGCAACCCTAATATTTAGAAATGAGAAGTGCATAATTAATTGCGGTTGAAATTCAAAACGGCGGAAGTTATGGGACAGCCTGACATGAGTTTTGCTTTCTTTTCAAATGATATTTCATGTGCCTACACAACCTGTTATCCCTCTTTAGGAAGAACTCATCCACGATGCACCATTTGGCTGTTTCAACACAATCTTCGCCACTTGTTTCTGGCTGAACTCGTCTGATGTTCTAAAAAAGGATGGAAAAGTTTCAGCAGAACGACAAAAAGAGCTGTTGAATCGATGTAAATGTTATGTTGAGGACACAATTGAGCTCTGCGGATGGTGATCATGCGCACCAACGCTATTTGACTGAAGTGCCCTCAGCAATATTTTATCGTTTTTGGGCTCTACTCATAAAGTTTATCCTGCTTTTCTTACTGACTAACACGAGACATATGCGATATAGGGTAAAAATACATTATTTGATTGTTTGCTAACGAGATGTACCGTCTCGGTTCCTGTTGTACCAAGACAAACAACACTGTCCAACCTCATTTCTATAAGTCAACGAAATCAATGGTCTCAAAAGCAGGGTCCGGACAATGTCGACTGACAAATTTCTTCGCTTACCTGGGCTTATTTTTCCTGCTGATTCCGAAAATACAGTTTGAAGAGCGCGATATCTTGGAAAATCGGTCACTTCAGAAAGCACCAACTTTTGAGATTTAGAGTCATTGTGAGAGCCGATCTTAACTTTGTGCGATATGCGCAGGCTTCTAGTTTAAAATCGAATGAAGAGCGGGCATGTGACGCCGCCTTCAACATGTGTCTGAAGCGTTCGTCACTTCAGAAGCAGATTGGTGCAATGTCACTTCGTCAGAAGCTCTATCAAGGTGGGTGCTATAGCGCTCCATAATTTTCGAATATCATTATACTTGCCGAATGCTGCTTTTGATAGTGATATTCGTAATCGCCCCGCTTACCAAGTCCTGTGTGCCATCCTTGGCTCGCCCGTAGCGGAAAGTAGAGGCTCGTTGAACTGAAGCATGCCTCCAATCAGCATTTCAGCCCCCTCTCCCCTTCGCTGTATCAGTCCAGCACAGCTAAAAGTTTGCAGAAAAATGATGAAACAACGGAAAAAATCTACAACTGCTTAAACAATCTTGCATTGGAATTTAGCACAGTCCCATTCTTGAAACAATTTCACCTCGCCATAAAATTGAAAAAGAGATGAGACTGATAAAATTCATCGAAGACTTTTTTGATGGGCCTTTTCAGTTGTAATGAGCACGTTCAATTATGTATGTCAAATCCCAACCGCTTGACTGGTGTTTGCCAACAATTACTGAAGCAACTATCAAAAACGAAGGAAGGCCTATTTTGGCCGCCTCGTCTTGGTGTGCAAGTGCAGCGTGTGGCCATTTACAAATATGAGCAACACAACTGGTCCGAGCAAGTGAACGGTGCCTAATCAATCGAGTTTCTCTTCCAGCAATCGAAACTGCCGTAAGGATTGTGTGACAACACAGAACACTTACAAGGGAAGTGTCACAAATTGCAGGGGCCGTTTGAGATGGGACGGGTGGTGCGACACGTCACTCAAAAGGGCATTTCCAAAGCCACCCTTGCTAGCTGCAAAACAACTCTGAGAGGGGAGCTACGGGCGCTTTTCCGCTCGATACCCGGCACACCTTGCACGAATACGAATGCCAGCGGCATTAATTGGCGCAGTGATAAGTTTGCTGACTACCGTGCGTATGGTTGGAGGTTCGAATCCGCTGTTGGACAACTTTTTTGCAATTCATATACAAACTCCTAAAATGTGTAGATTAGCGACCAAAAACGTGTTACCCCTTTACCGGTGCTTAAAAGAAAAAAAAGCACACCAATATCGTTCTTGAAAAGGAATGATAAATACAGTGAAACTATGCGAGAGAGCACAAGAAACGTGCGGAAGTAAAATTTGAACGTGAGCGCCAAACGCAGACTGTTCGCGAAACCGCGCTAAATCTGACAATATAGTTCTATCTAATTTATCTAATTGCTTCACCACGCGTAAGTCTTCGCAATAAAAACATTTTTCTACTTTTAAGCACCGGCAATCGGGTAAAACACGTTTTGGTCGCTAATCTACACTAGGAGTTTGCATATAAATTGCAAAAACGTTGTCCAACAGAGGATTAGAACCCCCAAGCATCCTCAGTCTATAGTCTGTAGGTAGTCTGCACACCTGCCACTGCGCCACATTAATACCGGTGGCAGTCGTATTCGTGCAAGGCGTGCTGGGTATCGAGCGGAAAAACGCCCGTAGCTCCCCTCTCAGAGTTGTTCTGCAGCTAGCGAGGGTGGTTTTGGAAATGTCCTTCCGAGTGACGTGTCACACCACCCATCCCATCTCAAAAGGCCACTGCGATTTGTGACACTTCCCTTGTTAGTAGTCGTTTAGAGTAACAACATATATACATGACATTTAGTCCAACTTCGCAGCTCTAATATGAAATGTCCCGTCTTTGTCGCCAGCGATTACTTAGCTAAAGCAAACGTTGGTCTGGTCACTATGCGAGATGATCACGATAGATCGACTAACTTAGATAGCTGGTGAAGCACAATGCCTGAAATGAAGACCACCGAGGAGATGGGCAGACATATTCGTGTAACAGTTGCACCAACAGAGAAATAGGTTGGACACAATCCCCGCATTTTAGTATCAGGTAGCACCATCATCACCGACATGGATGATGATGTGGATAAAACGAGCGCGAGAGGTACTTCCTTGTATCAGACTGCAAACACGGACGAGAACCTATTGTCGCCTTCTTGTTATAGTTGTTGTCTTTGATAGAGTACTGTGGGACAGATGAGTGGCTCTTATCTTAGTTTCAGATTCTACTTTAACAGCTTCTTTGGAAGCAATCTGTGTCAACGGCTGTGCAGACAAAGTATGGTGATAAGAACAGGGTCAAGGATATGCTATACAATGTACCCTATTTTCAAGTATATAAGCTGCGGGGTGGTCCTAGCTTACATCGACCAGCTCGAACACATCAAATCAAAACCTCGCAACCAAAGAACCATACACCGTGCAGCGTAATGCTTGAAAGAATTGTGCGGCATAAGGATCACTTCTCGAAACACAATGAAGCGGCTGAGCAGCTTGTGGGATAATTTGAAAAAGTGCGGGTTATACACCTGAAAATAGGGTACCTTATTGTTGGTACACGTTGGAAACCCCATTTAGAGGCACCTGAACAAGTATTTCACAAATAAAGTCAAAATAACAAATGTTTTTATGTGGAAGATGTGACGAGATCATGAAGCCAGTGCAAGAGAAAAAAACTTTTATTTTAAAAACTTTTTAAAAACTTATTTGGAAGCGACCTGTGTCACGGCTGTACAGACAAAGTATGCTGAACGAGAAATATAAGTATAGGGTCAAGGAAATGCATGCAAAGTACCTTATTGTTGGTGTACATTGGAAACCCCATTTAGACAGGGCACCTGAGCAAGTACAAATAAAGTCAAAATAACGAAGGGTTTCATGTGGAAGATGTGAGAGGTCATGAAGCCAGTGCAACAGAAATGGAGCTGCGGGGTCCATATTTTCATTTTTTGCAGCTTTGTCTTAAAATCATAGAAAGGATAGTAAACTGACACAGCTTTTGATAGGGTAGACATGAGATCATGTCCCATGCATAGTTTAGACTTTGAAGACCACGAAAGGCTGCCCACTAATAAAGGCTTCATCAAACCAAGCTCCGGTACCATCAGTTCGCCAAATATCGACCAGCAGAGAAACTTCTGGTCGATATTTGGATAACCGAATTACTGAAATAAAACGATTTGCAACAACTACTAGTATTAGTTCCTTATCACTAGCAACTTCTTTATTCCCTCCTAATCAGAAATGAAACCTCATGGAGCTTTGTGAGGGCATGCAGAATCGAAATCACTTTCTTACAAAGATTTTCCGAAGTGTTCATAATAGATTTCGGTTCAAATTCAATTATGCAAGACAGTTTATAATAACAGAAGTGAATTATATTTGCAACCATAAAGTGCATGTATATTTGCAACCATAAAGTGTATAAGAACAAACAGACAGAACAAAACATACCATTCATATTTGCATGCTTTACAATTGCTATATTCCTTGTTTTATTCCCGAACTAAGAAAGCGTTTGAGTAAATTATCTGCCAAAGAAATTTGAATCATCGGCAATACGGCAAGAGTTTGTTGCAATTGTCCTCGCATAAATAAAACACGAGCTTCTATTCAATGATGCGCAGAGGCTAGGAGGAAGGATTCCGTAGCTAACGTAATCAAGAATTTACTCTATCAATGAGCCTGAATCACAACCTTAGGCCCGTATGCGCGTACATCAACGCTGGGGAGGGGAGGGAATCTGAGAGGGAATGCGTCATATCTCGGTACTTCAAGTATCTTTCTTCTTCCTTCTCTATCTTGCTTATGAAGGTCCTCATACCCTTATACCAGCGCATAATTTTAGCCAGGTTATTGGCATAATTGATAAGATTTTCACTATTTTGTGAACCCTAGGGAAAAGCTCTCATTTTCAAAGTAAATCTTTCTGAGAAGTCAATGAAACTCTATAGAATTGCACTATAGATATACTATCTTTGGAAATCCCTAGCTCGCGAGCTAGGGATTACCAAGTTTTCCTGTCGAAAACTCAATTTAATCTCATTTGTGATGCTTTTGACTTTACTATAGTGACTCTCTAACAGCTTTTGATTTTGCTCATTTTTGCTTCTTCAAATTGGGAAAAATCTCATGATAAACGTCGTACATGATAGACTTTCCATCTCGATAATGATTGAACTTGAACTTCTCAGTTTGAGTATTTAGATCCTATGATGGATAGTGTCTCAATCAAAATCCTACTCGTGCCTGTTTACTAGTTCTGGCACTCCAAATGGTCATTCTTTGCAAGAATAGAATAACGTTTTCAAGGAAATAAACAAGGTTTGAAGAAAAACACAATTGAAAAATTGGAAAAAAACCCAATTACAATACAAAAGAATTTGTAAGGGGGTCTAGAAACCAAACCTTTGGAATATCGTTCGGATAAATTTGTCTAGCAACTGAAATGCGATGAAAAGGCTTATTATGGCATCCTCTATGCATGTCGGATACAACTTCTCAATTCGCCATAGTTAAGAGCGCTATTGTAAGTCGACGACGCTACCGATGATGCCCTTGTCTGAAAAATTTGGCTTCTATTTTATGCAAAGTATGTTTTGAGTTTCTATAACATTCGAGTTAAATTCAAATAAATTTTGGTGTCCTTCTTTTATGCCCTCTATGAGCCTTTTCTGCAGCTCCTAGAGTAGTCGTCTGCAGCATTATCTTTTATCAGTCAGTGTCTTCATTGATAGCAAGTGTTTTGTCAGTGATTATATTTGTGTTATGTCAGCATAAGCTTTCCAAACACGTGATCAGCCTTAAT